ACCCCCTCGCCCCGGCGGCGGACCGCGGCCGCGGATTTCTTTGTTTTCGGCGGAGACCATCTAAAGCTGGCGGCGCAGCCTGCGCGCCTGCGGCGCGCCGTGGTTTCTAAATTTTCGCGGAAACGCCCAGTGTGGTTCTTGATCATACGTAACGTAATCGGTTTCTTTCTTTACACGAGGGCATGGAGGGGGAGAGGAAGAGCAAGGGCGAGAGAGGGCAAGGGACCGGGCGCTGGCATACCAGGGGGGGAATGGTGGTGGGCGGCGACCGCCGCATATCGTCCTATGACGGCGAGTGTCGCTACGCCAGGGAGGACAAGGACGTCGACGTGCAGCTGAAAAGATTTATGTATATAAGTAGAGGAACGAGTCGAGAGGACAGGGAGGGACGTGTCCAGGGGGGGGACAGCTCAGTGTCGGATTGCATCTCGGCTGCATCAATGGCGGATGGGCGGCCTCGGATCACGGTCACGTCGGCGAGGACAGCGACGGCGTCGTTGGTGGCGCGCAGGGGCGAGGGCGTCGACCGACGGGCGCCGCATCAGGGACCCCTCGCTGGCGAGCGGCTGGCGCGGGAGGTCACGGAACGTCGGGTCGAACGACGGGTCGAGCTCCCCCCTCCGCCGGTCGAGGCCGCGGTCGAGACGGTGAGCGCGCGGCCGAGGTCCTCGCGGGCGTGGCCGAGTATGGCCCGAACTACTCGCTGCCGCAGCCCGCGGAGTCTAAGACGGCGCGGCGGAAGCGGCTGCGCCTGGACGCGGCGGCGAGGATCGCCGGGCACGCCGTCGTCGAGGCAGGCACTCACGTGGAGATCCTGGGCGAGCACCATCACGGGGCGGGAGGAGGATTCGGCACGGGGCGGGAGGAGGATTCGGACGGCCGGCTCGTGCACGCGGTCGAGTACGATGGCTACCCCGACCAGGATTTCCGGCTCAACCCTAGAGGAAGTGTCGTGGAGGCGGGCGACGCTCGGCGCCGGCGGCGCGGCCCCCACCAGCGGCGAGGTCAGCGACG